ATACCGGATGGTTTCACTCATAGCAGGAGTATAATGGACCAGGTGGAAAATAACAAAAATAATGAACAACCATATACCAGAGACATTTTGTGGGGGTGGAATGGGGAATGGGATGAAAAACGGGGTGGGGGGAGGGAAATGCACGGGATTATGGTGATGGCACATGGGTGACTTGGTGATGGGAAACCCGCAGGGATTACAATTGAGATGGAAAAAAAAATGTACAAAATGATGTAAAAATAAACTTTTGTAATAAAAAAAATGAAGTAATAAAGGAAGAACTATGTTAAAAAAAAGAAAGAAAAGGGCACGTTAATAACAATAATCATAAAGAAAGTTAGTCCAGAAGAGAGTTCTTCATACTTACTAAATTTGGTTTTAGACAAAATATACTCTGTAGCCTTTGTTTTATTTTATTTTTATGTTTCAGGACAGATGAGAAATCATCTCAATGTAGCATCAGCTACTCCACTTGGCTTTGAGAAAGTGCTGGCTTTCCCCTCACCCTCCAGTTCTGCCAAGAAAGTGCAGTGTGCACAGGGGGAAATTCATTTAAGAAAAGATATGATGCTTTCACTCTCCCCCCCCTCCAACTTTCCTGCAGAAGAAATGCACTGGAATCTTCCTTTTGAAGAGTAAAGAAGGGAGAAGAGAATGTAAAGCAAGCGGCAGAGACCGTTTTTTCCACTGGAAATAACATTAGGACTGCAAGCTGACACCTTTCCTTGGATGACCCGGGAGTAATCAGACGGGGCGATCTTTCTAGAAAGGAAAGCAAATGAAACTTAGAACTGCTTGAAGGCAGAAAAATAAGTAGTCTGAGGCAAGGACATCAGATTACAGTTCCGGCTGAGTTAAAATGCTGTTGTCTTTCCAAATTCTTGGATTTTATCTGGGTCAGGCAAGCCAGAGTGTGAACAGGCAAGAAAAGCTAGGTTAGTTTTGAGGGGGGTTTCTGAATGAATGACTGGTTTTGGTGTTTGCTTAGAGTTTATGTTCCTCTGGAGTAACCTGAAGGAAGCTGCTTCTAGAAGTCTCAATTTGGGTGTGCATTCAGGCAGAACATGCATGAACGGGGGCTTTTTTAAATTATTAAAATGGAAATTCACAATTATGACTATGAGTAAGTGGGGACAGTGATCTCAACTTGGGTCAGAGGGGAAGCGGTTACCGGCTCTTGGACCTGTCTCCACCTGGGTCAGCGTCTCTAGTGTGGGGTCAGCTGGCGAGAGCATGAGTACGTAGAGCCCACTCAGGGAGCTTTGCAAGACCCCCTTCTTCACTTCCACCTCAGTCCATTTCCAGTGCACTTTGAGTTGAATTGGAAGAAGACTTAATGCAGTGAATTAGCACATTTATAAATCTTCTGTTACTCCTCTTCCCACCTCCAGATGGTGTTTTTTGGCTACATGGTGTTCAGCATCCTCTTCGGGGTCCTGGCCGACAGATATGGCCGCCGGAAGGTAGGGTGGTGCCCAAAGATAGTTAGCAATTTTCCTTCGTGGTGATCTCACCACCACGCCTCTCTCCTGGGTTCCCTGTGTATGTCCAGACTAGAACCTGCTGAAGTAGCTCCTGGAATAGCATAGGCCCGGCTGCAGGCTTGTCCTGTCACTTCTTATCTTTTCCCATCTGCTGTCACGACTGTGCCCGGCAGCCCAGGCATGGAGTTGATGGCCATGCACAGTTACCACACACTGGAATGTGGGTGTTTGCAGGTAGAGACATAAGCAGCTTCACATTAGCTCACTGTGGTGAATCTTTAGAAGGAAGCCCCGTGCTCAAGGTCACACACCTACTGAGGTTAAACATCAAGTCGCGAATTTATGTCTTCTGACTATAAACCCAGGTGTCTTTTTTTTTTTTTTAAAAAGCTTTATTTGTGCATACAAGAACAGGGGTACAGGCCAGAGGTGTGGGCCTAAGAGGACTCACCAAAGACAGAGTGGGGAGCAGAACAGGTGGATCCACTGAAGTGCACTGCTGAGGGGAGCAGCAGGCAGGTCAGGATAGATCTGCTGTGTTGTGTGGCTCAGCTCCCTGCTAGCAATAGTGCTGAGACTTTAACCCCTGTGCCACCAGACAGGCCCCCACACAATGTTTTGTTGTGGCTCATGATATCTCTGAGCAGGGGTGGAGTGGGGGGTGCTTTTGCCTTCTCATTTACAAGTCTAGGCTCCTGCTACCTAAGAGAGTGGACACTGGAGGGCAGTTTTGAAGAGTGATCTTAACTTGAAGCATCAGGGCTTTCAGGTTTCATCCCATTGCATGATTTTCCTGAGTGATGATTGTCAGGCCTCAGTGGCTTCCTATAGACTAGACCTTCAGAGATGCAGACCTCTGGATGAAAATTAAAAACCACCTTCAGCATTAGGTTTTCCGCCACAGATGAGTGGGTCCATGGAGGCAGCTCCCATTCCTAAGTCTCCTTTTGTTGCTTCAGATTCTGTTCGTCTCCTTCCTGTGGGGAGCCTACTTCTCCTTGTTGACCTCTTTCTCCCCCTCGTACATCTGGTTTGTCTTCCTGAGGACCATGGTGGGCTGTGGCGTGTCTGGCCATTCACAGGGGTAAGTGTCTACCTGGAGGGCCCTGCAAAGAAATGTGTGGTCACCCCAGATACAAACACACACGCCGGTTAATGGACTAGCAGTGTGACATGATACAAATCTATAGACTCCACATGTGCTAATTATTTTTTAGTTTTTTTTTTTTAAATCATGGCTGCGTACTCCATGAGGAGTTATTTGCTTATTAAAATGACGGGTTAAAGCATAGCACCATCACCGTGAAGCTCACCACAGCCACTTCAGCACGAGTTCAATCCCTGGCCCCGGAGCTGACCCACATGGCTGGGCAGACCTCTCCTGACCCGCCCGCTGCTCCCCTCAGCAGTGGACTTCATCCCTCTGCCTGTTCTGCTCCCCACTCTGCCTCTGGTGAATCCTCTCACCCCCTGCACCTCTCGCCTGTACCCCAGTTCTGTGTGCATAAATAAATAAGTCTTTAAAAATAAAGATGTTTGGTGGTGAGGTTAGCAGGGTGCCAGGCTGTTCCCTAAGGCTGATCATTAGTTTTTAGCTGAATTAATATTTCACTAGACTAGATGCTAACAAAAGGTGTTCTGTGAGGTGGGAAACAAAAATGTCAATCCAGTGCAATCTCTTCATTTCTTTGGAATTTGCTGGAGGAGTTTAATTTGCCTATGTTCACTGGTGGCATTTAAGAATAACCATTTAAAAAATTTTTAAGATTTATTTATGCATACAAGAGCTGCGGTACAGGCCAGAAGTGTGGGTCGGGGTGAGAGGATTCACCAGAGACAGAGAGGGGAGCAGAACAGGCAGATTAACTGAAATCCACTGCTGAGGGGAGCAGCGGGGAGACAGGAGAGGTCTGCTGTGCCATGTGGGTCACTCCCTGGCTGGGGATTGAACTCAGGCCACAGTGATTGGCGCTAGCTTCAGAGTGCTGCGTTTTAACCCACTGCACTACCAGGGAGGGCCCCGGCAATAACCATTTTAAAGTATCATTGCCCTGTAACTTCAAAGGGAATCTGCAGTGACATGTTGAAAGAGATGGGCTGCCTCTTGTCTCCCTTCCACTCTAAGTTAAGTGTGCACTGTGTGTACGCACAGGTGCACACATGAAACATGTCCTGCTGATTGCGCAGTGACTCGGGGTCCTTAACTAAAGAGGACTCCCCTGCTCTTCCCTCTTAGGCACGTTGGCGTAAGTTACCCTTAGAATATATTAGGAGATGTCAAGACGTGTAATTATAACCTTAATATGTTAGGGAAAGACTCATGTTTCCCTGGGGCTTAAGTAAAGCATCGATTCTGAGCTTAGGAGCCCCAGGGGAATGGAAGTTAGGAAGACTTTAAAATCATCCCTCAGGAAGCAGCCCCAAAATACATTTAGAACACCAAACCCTGAATACTAACTGCAACAGAGAAGAACAATTAGGAAATTAAGGGAATCTGAGTCCCTCTGTTCTTCTATTTACAAAATTAATGTGTAGTTAATTAGAAACCTGTGCTTTGTCAACTTTCGTTGGGGGAACTATTTCATTTTTCTTGACTGTTTTAATTTCCCAAATATATTTAATTTATTTTTATCCACATGGGCCACCTTATCTATTTTATTTATAATTAATATTGTAAGATGCTATATAGTTTCAGATAAACATCATAGCCATTCATCATTTGTCTCCCAGGTATATTTTAGGAAAGGGAATAGGTTTGGCCAGATACTTTGCTAATGTTTCTCTTGGTGAAAGAGTTCAGACTAATAGCTCTTAAATGGTAAGAGGTAGCTTCGGGAACAAATAACTGAAATTTCAGTGACTTGGGGAATAAAAATGCAAACAGAAGTGTGGTTGTGCTTTTACTTCTTATTGCTCTCTGTGGGTCATAGCTCTAACAGTTATATTTTGAAGTCTGATTGCTTAGGGACAATGCTCACATCACAGCTTCTGACAGTGCCGTGACACAGAGGTGCAGGTTTCTTTCTGACACCAGTGAATTCTCGGACACCAGCTGGGTGGGCTGTGTTTCCGTTTGTTTCTGATAATGACCAGAGTTAGTGCAGATCCAGGCTAAGGACCAGGCCTACAGCTGGCTCCTGTCTCAGATGCTGATCACTGCAGCTCTCTACTCAGCCACCTCTTCTGCCGTGTTGACTACATGCTGGAAGTACCCATGATCTCTCGTTGGGGTTGATAAGTCGCTAACATCACTGACACACCCAAGAAAACAGTTTGCTTACTAGTGTTGTTACAAGCCTTATGTATTGCAAAAAATATTTGTGAGCAAACAAAAGAACAGCTGGAAGAATATAAAGTAGGGCAAGGTCCAGCAGGATCCCAGCATAGAAGGTCTACCCCAGGGGGCTTGGGGTGTGCCACCCTCCCAGCATAAAGATGTGTTTGCCAACCTGGAAACTGTCCAGACTCTGTACTTGAGAGATTTCATGGAAGCTTTATCACAAAGACATGGTTGATTAGTAACTCACTTTTAATCTCTCTCCCTTCTTTGAAGGATGAGGGTTAGGACTAAAAGTTCCAAGCTTCTTAAAATACAGACTCAATGCAATTCCTATCAAAATTTCAATGATACTCTTCAAATAAAATAAAGCAAATATTACTGAAATTTGGGGACCCCAAAGGACCCCATATAACCAAAGCAATCTTGATAAAAATAGAATAAAGGTATGACCCTCCCAGGCTTCAAGCATTTCTACAAGCCTATAGTAACCAAAGCAGTGTAATGTCATGAAATTAGACACAGACAATGGAAAAGAACTGAGAGCCTAGATACAACTCCACACTTAATGGATAATAGCCACAGAGCCAAGATCAACAAAGAGATAACAAAATCCCAAGCAAAAAATGTGCAGAAGAGCTAAATAGACATTTCTCCAAAGGAGACAGAAAGATGGCCAACTGGCATGGGAAAACATGTTCAGCATTGGGAACATGCAAATCAAAACCACAATGTTTTCCAAAAGGACTGGATTTATCTACTTCCTAAAGAGTTTTACCTCAGTTTAAAAAAGTGTTACAGAGGAAGAAATGTATAAGATGACCCCAGACAGAGACCAAAATACATATTTCTTAGTATTTTATTATCTTGAATTATTATTTTATTATTATGACAAGAATGATGACTATAAAATGCATTTGGTTTGGTTTTATAAAAACAAAATTGTTGTGTTTCCCCCTGTCCCCATTTAGGTTAGTCATAAAGACTGAATTTTTGCCTACAAAATATCGAGGCTACATGCTCCCCTTATCTCAGGTGAGGCAAAGAGATTCTACTCATCTTCCACTACTATACATGTGATACATGTGGTGTTTCTTCTAGCGGGTTGACCGTGATGGATTTACACACTGTCTGTTACTGGAATCAAGTCTACTGTCTAGTGCTCGATGGCAGAGATCCAACTCCTGGCTGTCTGAGCATCACCCAGCACCTGGACCACAACAGCCAGGAGCACTGAAGTCTCTCTGGGTCTTTAATTTACTGCAATGGATTTAGCTATCTAGTGACTTATGATCCCCCAGATCTCTATCTACAATAAGAGGACCTACTTGAACGTCAGACCCAGATGGCCAATATCATGATAGTGGCTTAATTATCCTATCAGCTCCTCAAGTATAATGTGTAGAATTTACCTCTTGATCTTCCTCTGAAATCTCTAATTCTACACTTAGTTAATATTAGTAAACTCCATGCCCTCAGGCATCTGAACCAATTTCAAAGGCCCCACCCCCTACTGCTCTATTTCCCTGTTCAGTCAACGTCATGACTTACTGGTTCATCCTGTATTGCTGGGACACTCAAATGCACCTTCCATCAGTAGAGCCCATCCTCTTTACTTCCAAAGTGCATGCCTATGCTTATTTGTTTTTAAACTTGTCGCTTCGCTAAAATCCTCACTGATGCCTCGCCACTTATTAGTCGCTCTACTCTGTTGGCATGTTACTGACCTTGTTATTTGTTTGACCTTCAGAAAAGTCATCTCTGATTAATCAAATCATTCTCCCTCATGTTACTTTTTCAGCTCATAGCCCTTCTTGTTTTCTGAAATAATCAATTGTTCTTTTCATAATAGTGTTCTTTGGTGATGAGATAGATAAGAGAGTCACCCCTTACTTAGTCCCTCCAAAAAGGCTTTTATTGCATTCTCTTCCTTCCACTTCTGTGAAGTAGAGAGGAGTCTTTGTTTAGTTTCCATGTCAGAAGGAGGTAGTGCTCAGGCTAACACCTGGGATTGTTTTAATTTCCAGTCAATGAAGCCTGGTGAAAGTTGGCCGCCATGTTTTTGTTTTTTTAAAAGATTGATTTATTTATGCATCAGAACTAGGATACAGGTCAGGTGCAGGCAGGTGAAAGGATTCACCAGAGACAGAGTGGGGAGCAGAACAGGCAGGTATGCTGAAATACATTGTTGCAGGGAGCAGCAGGTGAGACAGGAGAGGTCAGCTGGGCCATGTGGGTCAGCTCTCTGGCTGGGGATCGAGCTCATGCTGCAGTGGCTGCTATAACTTCATAGTGCTGTTCTTTAACCGGTTGCACCACCAGGGAGGTCCCTGGCCACCATGTTTTTTATTGATGTCAAATCTCTAGATATATTGTGCAGTACAAAAAAAGCAAAGTATAGAGCAATATTTATACTGTACAGTTGTGGGGAATCAAAATTTATCCTCATTAGCTGGTGTACACTTAGCACCCCCTTAGAAGGATATAAGAACCTGGCAATATTGTCTCCTTCTAAGAACTAAGATGTCAGAAAACCAGGAAAAGAGGGTCTTTTGACAGGGCTGCCTTTATGCCTTTTGAGTTACAAACCAGTGACAAATCAGTCAATGTCTGAGACTTGTAGGGACCCTGCTTTTTGGAACTTTGGAGACCCTGACCCCTGAGACTTCCACTAAAGATGCATGAGAGCCCCACTGGTGACCTGCTGGTAGGGAGCTCCAGAGAGGCCAAGTCGAGCACATTTGATGGGCGAAACTCTCCCCTTCCCTCCTCCCAGGTTTTCTGGCTGGGGGGCTCCCTGCTCATCATCGGCCTGGCCTCCGTGGTCATCCCCACCATCGGGTGGCGCTGGCTTATCCGCATCGCCTCTATTCCTGGCATCATCCTCATCATGGCCTTCAAGGTGAGGACTTTCGTGGGCACCTCCTGCCCTCCTGCCCAGCTGGCTGGTGGCCTTTGCCCCATGATCCCTTTCACACATCCACCTCTTTGCTTGATTCAAAAATCTTTGTCAATCAGCTCATGTGGATAGAGCTAATGTGCAAAGTGTGATAATGCAGAATGAATTGGGGAGAACAGGTGGCTGGAGTGGCTGGAGAGTGGGTGCTGCTGGGGTGCAGACTGGGAAGATTGGCCGGCACACTCGGGGCACCAGATGCATGGAAGAGATTGTGTGCTGAGAAGGAGGATGGGGCTGTGTGAAGCTGGGGCAGGAGGGAAGATGGCAGTGGCCAGAGCAGCATGGGGAGAGTGGCATCCTGATGGGGGCTGAGGAAGACTTGGAGTGCTCATTGGCTGTGGGAACGGAGAGAAAGGCGCTGCTGGGAGCCAGCTTCTGAGGAAGAACCAACTGCCGTGGTTGGGTGTGAGGCCTGAGGGGTGGGGAGCAGTCCGAGCTGATGCTGCAGGGCCAGCTTCCATGGAGGCCTCAGCTGTATTCTGAGTGTGGTCAAAATATTCAACAGTCATGGTCTGAGTGTCTTGTCATCAGTACTAATTGGGGAATGCTGGGGGCCCGTTTATGTTGTGCTGTGGGCCGATCCCAAGTTTCCGGGGGGAGGTTGGGGTGGTGGAGCTGTGGAGAGGCTCCAGGGTCCCTTGGGCAGCAGTGTTCCCCAGCTACAGCAGCACCCCCAATGCTGTCATCCCCTCCAATGCTTTTTCTATAACGTTAGTGAGAAAAAAGATGATGGTCGGGGCCACTATCTGTGGAGCTGAAATGTTCTTCCTACCTCTGCACGGAGGAACTTCATGGGGGTGCTCCAGTTCCCCCACACAGCCCAAAGGCGGGCACATGAAGTTCATTGGTGTTTCTCTACTGTCGCTGTTGTCCAACTGGAGTGTGCATGCGTGTGTGTGCCCAGATTTGGGTCCTGCCTTGCATGCTGAGCTGCTGGCTGAGCCTCCAGTCAGCAGCCATCCTGAACTGGTATAAGTGGGCTGGAAAATGTGTGCAGGCATGCATGAATGCAGTGATTAACATTAGAAGTGTTTGGAGACTTTAGAAGTTTGGTGATGTTTGTGTGATGAGAGATAAGTTGTAGATGCTTACTCTTGCTTGTACAATTAGCCTATAGGAAAATTGGTTCCTGTATTTGTCATTTAGCTGAAAGTTGCCATTTCAAAGACCTTATCCATGGCATTAAATGGGGACTTCCTGTAGATGTAAGAATTTCATTGTCTTCACAAGTTGTGGGAAGTAAACTGGTGAAAGCCAGTAGCAGCAGCCTGGCGTATGAGAAGGGACTAAGACCAGGAACGTGACCTTTTGTTCCAGATCGAGTTTGAATGCAAGAGAACGAGAGAATGCCTGCCATGTTGGGTGCCTTCAGCGTTTCCATAGCCTGTGCCTATCTGCGGGGCCCTGGGATGGGGTGGTATATGGAGCAATAATAACTGAACCCCTTGTGTCCATGGCAGTTACTTTACAACTCTGAGTTTCTTTGTTTTCTGTGTCCAGTTTATTCCTGAATCTGCCCGATTCAATGTCTCTACCGGGGACACTCAGGCTGCCCTGGCCACGCTGGAGAGCATCGCCAAGATGAACCGCTCAAACATGCCACAGGGGAAGCTGGTGGAGCCCATTCTGGTGAGGTCCCCAGGGGAGTTGCTCCCCCTCGCCCACCTCCAGCCGCTGCCCCCAGGTCCCCTTGTCTGTGGAGGCTAGCAGGAAGGGGATCCTTAACTCTCTAGCCCTGCCCTTGGAGGGATAAGAGAAAAGGGCAGAGTAGATGGAGCTAACTCAACTCCAACTTGCCTTCACTTGCATGCGTGGCCTTACTGTTTACGGGAGGGAGGTGGCTTTATACTTTGTTTTTCTTGTACTAGCTGGTCCTCTCTGGATAACCAAGATATCAACCTCCTTGAAATGATTTTAAAAACAAAATTTGGTGTTTAAATGCGAGTGGTTCCAGGACTCTTGAGGCCAATCAGCAATCACTTCGCACACCAGCCCAGATCGCCCATTTCTACACACCTGTAGATGTCTCAGCTGGGTTCCAGGGAGGGGTTCCGGGAGCGGGTTACCCTGCTCACCTGTCCTGTCCTCTTCATAGCAGTTTCTAGAAGGTAAACCTTGCCTATAAAGCAGTTCATGCCTAATTCTTGTTTTGAAACTATGATTCCATTTATGTGGAGGTGAGAACCTACTTCTGTTTTAAGGCTACTGAGCCCATTTTGATAATGTCTATCTTTTAGAAAAATTGCCCAGTTCATGTTGGTCTTCAAATGTGTTGATTGAAATTGGTTTCAATATTCTGTAATGAGTTTCAAAATCTGTCTGTGTCTTTCTTTCATTTTTTATATTGTATATTTGTGCCTTCTTTCTTTTCTTGATCTGTTTTATTGGCAATTTGTCTGTTTTATTAAACTTCAAGCTATAGGATTTTTGTCATTCTCCTGATTGATTTTCCTGGTAGTCTCATTAATTTGTACTTATTATCTTGCTTTTTTCGTTGGCTTTTTATGTTCTAGTGCGTGGCTTTTTGAATTCAATGTGTCTTATTTTGTCTTTTTGAGCTTTAATAAACCATTTAGCTGCAGCCAGCAAGTTTTTTTGCAGCGTCAGCTTATTTTTATTTCTAGTTTGTAACTGTTATGAGATTCTCTTTAACCAAGTGAGTTATTTGTGAATGAGTGTTTTTATTCTTTGTTTCTAGTTTAATTTCATTTTGGTCAGCGTATGTTACCAATTATTTGTATTTTTTGAGATTATTCTCCTGTTCTCTACATCTTGTTCACGTTCTGTGTGCCATGTGCTTAAAAAGAATGTGTGTTCTTAGTGACCACCTGTCCTCACATAGCTACAAACATATTTAATTGTGCCACATAACTATCGAGAACTTGCTCTGGACTTTGCCTGCTTAAGCTAATTGTTTCTCAATGAGAAGATGGTTTTGTGGACTCTCCCACCGGCATGACAGTTAACGCCATAGATTTCCAGAACATCTTGTTTCATGTGATAGTTTTATTCTGTGGGAGGAATAATGTCATTATTGGAAACACTTCCTTACCCCTGTTTTGCTTTGGGCCTCATATGCTATTTCCTCTTATTAGTAGCTGGACACTCGCTCTGGTTAGTATTTTCCCAACAGGTCTTTCTCTCGTCCTTCAGGTTTGGCCTTTTAGTGTTATTTGCTTTACACATTTTTCTTGTGAATTTATACTGATATATCTATAAACATAGATATAGGTACAGATCTATTACTCAATGTGATCTTCCATGTCTTTTAATAATGAGTTGACCCACTTACATGTGTGGGTCATTTATTATATTTATAACTGGGGATCTATATTTGAACTTACATTGGGTTATTTTCACTAGATCCTTAACCTGTCTTTCTTGCCTTCTGTGAGATTGATTCAATTTGCTGTTTTTCTTCCGCTCGTGCCTCTGTGGTGTCCTTGTCTTGGATCACAGAGGTAGCCCTTAGTTGAACGTGCAGTTAGTTGCTATCTCCATCTGCCCTCTGAACAATGCAAGGACCTTAAACATGAATTCTCATCTGCCCAGGCCTCACCTTCTGAGTCATTTTTGTCTGATTTTTAGTGTTACTTGTTTCATAAGTTACTCTAAATTAGGCTCAGTTTTAAAGCCAGTATCTACATTTGTTATTTTTCTTACTAGTGTCTTTTTAAAAATTGGTTTAGCATTATCTCCCATTCCTTTCTATTGCACTAATTTGGTTCCATGCTTAATATTTAAATGGTTAATATTTAAGTGCTGGATCTATCTGTGTCTAACTGACTATTATAAATAGGGCATAGATATAGCACTGCCATGGTTAGTGGCTAACCAGAAGATGCTCTCATATTTTTATTCAGTAATCCATCTCTTATATATTTGTTTCTATTTTGGGATATTCTGTTCTAATGAGAGATAAATATTGAAATATATGTGGAGACTTAAATTATTGAGAGAAGAAAACAACTTAATTGGCTTTAGTATGACATTGTTTTGATTACAATATTGTGTGATACGTTTTTTTTAATAACTAGTAGGTTAAGTCCCTAAGTCCCCTCTGTCAGATCTCTTTTCCAGAATTTTCCAAGCTATTTTTCCAATCCTATTTTTCTAGAACACCTCTGAAATCACTTTATCAGGATCTTCTCCCAATTCTCCTGCCTCCAAAACCTACAAAAAGTTGTATTGGGAGAGTGTGAGGTTATAGGTCACGACAGAGAGAATAGAGGTCTTGATAAAATCGACTATTCTTGTTCGGATGCAGTATATGTTCCTTTATATAACCAATGGCCACTGGTTGAAGCCCAGAATCCCTATCCTGTCATTCTAGTCACCCATGTTCTTTACTCATCAGCCACAGGTCCTTAGCTGCAGGGCTAAACACAGTCTCGATGGGGGAGGAAGGACAGAGTGCCAGGAGGCCCTCAGGAGGCTTCCCCAGGCGTCAGAGCTGCATGGAGCCGGGCCGCGGTGCAGAGAGAAGCTGGCTGTTCCAGCCCTCCCAGGCCAGCCTGCCTTTTCTCGGCATTCCAGCTGTGTTGAGATCATTGACCTATAACACTGTGTCTTTAAGGTGTGCAGTGCGCTGATGTGAGACTTAAGTTTTGCCATAATGATCAGTGCGTTAACACCAGTCAATGCTTCCCCCATGCAGTCACCATTGTGTGGTGAGAACATTCAAGATCTAACTCTTAGCTCGCAGGAGCCTGGACCCCCCAGTGCTAAGTCATTTCTTATTGGGAGTGTGGAGCCTCAGACCAACATCTCTCCACTGTGTTCCCCTCCCCCCCCCGCCCCACCCTGCAGCCCTCCCCCCACAGCCAACTTCTCAAATGCTGTCAAAACACCACCTCCTGTCCACTGTGTTCCCCTCCCCCCCCACCCCACCCTGCAGCCCCCCCCACAGCCAACTTTTCTCTGCAACTTGATGTCTCCACAACTTCGATTTTGTGAGATTCCACACAAAGTGACATCATGCAGTATTTAGACTTTTTCGCTTTCAGTCAGACTTATTTCCAAGGAATTAAACTTTGCTGACTGAGAACGCAAGGGCGGGGTGGGGGGGTGGACTTGGCTAAAGTGGATTTGTTGCTGCTGATGTCAGCTGCAGCTGGAGGTGGGGGCGGGAGTCACACAGGCTGTGGCCTGCTGCAAGGTGAGCACCTCACGGCGTCTCCCCAATTCCAACTGCCCTGTATCACCAAAGTCCAGGACACCCAGGGCCACGCACTTGGTCTCTCCAGAGAGGCTGTTTCCCAGGTCCGTCTGTGTGAAAACAGCAATTGATTTTCAGCTGAGTTTCCCATTGTCTTCCTGGCTTTACCTGACGCCCCCTGCACAGAAAGCCCCCGCCAGCGGTATGTACCGTATTTAGCAGGCCTGGAATCACGGGGGAGCTAGACTTTTACTCCTTTCATGAGGTTGCTCATAGGAGATTTTTCCCTTTGAATGGTAACGTAGAGGACTCTCCTAGCAGTTTGTGGGTTACATTTCATAATGAAGAGGAGGCATGAAAGAGTTAGATTCTTAAGTTCCTGAGCTTTGGTGCTTGCCAATAGTAATAAAACACGCGCAAAGACAGATGGGGATAATTGTGTTAAACAATTCCCCCGCGGGCCTCTCAGGAGCCTCACAGGGTTGGCTCACAACCCGCCCCCACCTGTTGTTTTCATTCATCTAAAGTATTAGAAACATCTTTGTCCTTAACCCACTAAATGTATCTCCCTTTTCATCACCCCAGGATAAAAGAGGAAGATTTAAAGACTTACTGGATGCTAAATATTTACGGACTACCTTACAGATCTGGGTCATATGGTAAGATTACAATTATTTTAAACCAAGTCTTAAATAAATAAGAGTTTGGAGATATTGCCAGGAGATAGTGCAGGCCAGGGAGTCCATTCTGAGAGCTACTGAGGTAGACCCAGCAGAATCTGATCTTTCTGCTATCATGACCAGCCAACCAACCAAATAAATAAATACATACGTGGCTAAAGGGAAAAGAAATGATCTTCAACTAGGCTTTTTCCCCCATATGAAGTCACTTTATCCCTTGTTTGAGTCTGGTCTTTTTCTTCGGCATAGGGTATGCGTGTTTTCTACTGTAATAGGTAAGTCTAAGCATTTTTCCATAGTGTTTATGCTAATTTGCACTCAAATCAGCAATGTCTGAATGTTCTAGACTTCACCCCCTTCCCAACACTTGCTATAGTCAGTCTTCTTAATTTTAGTTATCAGGTGGACCTACAGTGCCATCTTTTTTGGTTTTCATGTGTATTTCCCTTGTAACTTTAAGATTGGGCATGTTGCATGCTTTCTTAATACATGTTTGGTCAAATTCCTATTCATGTCTCTTGCCTATTTCTCCACTGAGTTAGCTCTATTTTCTTGATGAAGAAAGTTACCTATAATTTGGCTCAGCATTTCCACTCCTATGTTTAAATCCAATAGAAATGTATACATATGTTTACTGAAAAACATTTGCCTGAATGCTCCCAGGATTATTTGATTTGTAACAGTCTCAAATTGCAAACGATCCACAGGTGTACCAATAGCCTAATGGAGAAACTGTGTTCTATTCCTAAAATGGAATACTATGCAACGATGAAAATGATTAAGCCAGTGCAGCTTAATCTTAGAGATGTAGTCATGAACAAAGAAAGCAGACATGAGAATACATATTATATGATTTGAGTTCTATAATAAAGAAAATGGGTAAAACTATATTGTAGGAATTCAGGGAAGTGCTAGTCTGACAGCCCTCTCCAGATATAATAGGTTTGTCTGTCTCCTCTTGAGACTTTGATTTAAAAAAAAAAAAAAGGCTTAGTATTTGAATATTAAGTAAAAGAATTAAAATTTCTTTAATATCAAGGGGAGGCACTTGTGATTATTTCCTTTTAAAATATTTCATGCTGGCTACTTCCAAATTAAACATGGAAGTAGAGTGTATATCGTGAAGAACTCTGACTTACCCATCGCCCAGACCCCATAATTATGAGTATTTGCCCATATTTGCTTCAGCCATGTTTTTCTAGAACTGGAAAAGTATTTTCAAGAAAGTCCCAGGGTTCATGACATCTTACCCTCAAATACTTTGTGAAGAGTCTCTACAACAGGACATTTTCTTACTGACTCCAACTCTGTAATCACACTGGCAAAGTTAACAGTCGTTGCTGTAATATCACCTAATACCCAGAGCACCCAGACTGGCGCCTCTGATTGGGTGATGTGACTTCCAGATTTTCCCACTGTTTCCATGAAATTGAGAGGGGCCCAAGGTGGGGGTGCGCAATTCTGGGACGTCGAGATATTCTGTCTCAGCTTTGTGACCTTTTCTGTAGGTTATTTTTATACCTCAACACAAACATCTAAGAATAGGAAGGGGGGAGAAAAGACCAGGAGAAAATGTAAAGTCTGATGGTTCTGTGGCCCCTCCTGGCTTGCTAAAGACCCCGTGTGCTCGAATTCCAAAGATGACCCCTCAGGCTGGCTCCCAGTTGGTGGTCATCAAACACGAGTGTGGACGCCGATGTGAAAGGCCTGTGCGGATGTAACCAAGGTTACGGCGAGTGTGGACGCCGATGTGAAAGGCCTGTGCGGATGTAACCAAGGTTACGGCGAGTGTGGACGCCGATGTGAAAGGCCTGTGCGGATGTAACCAAGGTTACGGCTCTTAAACTAGGGAGTGGCGCCCGGAGTGGCCAGGTGCGCCCCCCTCTAATCACAGAGCCCTTAAAAGGCTAGGACGCTCTCCAGGCGGAACCGGATGTGGCCAGGGGAGAGGCCGAGGAGCGATCAGTGGGATGCGCCCCTCGGGAGGGTCAACGCTGCTGCTGGCGTGGAAAACAAGGAGCAGGACCCTGGGAAGCTGCTTGCCCCCTCCCCCGGCCCCCCAGCCCAGCGCGGGGCATGGAGAGAAGTTGCACAGACCGGAGCAGGATTCTCTCAGGGTTCTCTCCCCTCCCCCGAGGCCAGCGTCCCCGCCCGCTGGGCCCTCAGCGAGGCCCCCAGCCAGACCCCCAGGGCTTCTGCCCCGGAATTGTGAGCTAAGCGTCGAGGGCTCTTGTGTTGCTTTAATACGCTCCTTCCTGCACGCGGCCCCTCCCCCTGGAGCCTCACCCCCAGCCCTCACCCCCCTTCCCGCCGTGGGGGGAGCCTTTCCTGGGGACGCTGTTTTCTCGCCTCCAGGCTGGGGATCTCTTTCGCCTACTACGGGGTCATCCTGGCCAGCGCGGAGCTGCTGGAGCGGGATCTGGTCTGCGGGTCGCGGCCCGAGTCGGAGGACGTGGCGCCCCTGGGGGCCTCGGAGGAGACCCAGAGCACGTGCTACTGCCACATGTTCGCCCCCTCCGACTACAAGACCATGATCATCAGCACCCTCGGCGAGATTGCACGTAACTGTCTCGGGGTCCTGGGGTGGGGGGGCCTCCCAGAAGACGCTGTGGTGGCCACACCACCCCCGTATGAACTGTGGTGGGGAGCCACAGGGGAGCAGGGCTTGCAACCACGGCGTTCTATCTAGGGTGCCTGTCCCCCACACTTCACCCCCACCCCCAACTTCCATAGCGTCTATATAGCTGTGTCTTATCTGGCGTCAGTGCAGGGGCCGTTCCTGCTGGAGCCTTCTGGCGCTCCCCAGGTTTAAGTGAGCTCTGAGAGACGAAGCAGCCAGTTACTGAGGCGGGGGGGG